AGATCCCCCACTGTAACATCTTATAATTCAGTTTCTAAGTTAGATACCCCACTGTAACATCTTATAATTCAGTTTCTAAGTTAGATACCCCACTGTAACATCTTATAATTCAGTTTCTAAGTTAGATACCCCACCGTAACATCTTAAGTTGTGTTTTTAGTTATATTACTCATCATAGTGAATCTATATGTATATAGAATATTAAGAACATGCAGTATTGATGCTAGTAATTTATTCCCACAAATTACTCAGACAATCTGTTTATTTATTTTTAGTATATAAAATCTTAGGTTTCAGTTTTTAAGGATAAACACCCAATTTTAACATTATAGAATACCTTAGATCCTATCGTGCAAGTGTTGGAAGCGGTTTCTTAAGAAAATTTTATTTCCCCCCAGGTTGACAACGTAATCCAAGGTGTAAAGGACCTGATGAATGTCGTATCGAAAGTAGTCACGATAAGCCTTGTTTGTGCATCAAAGGTATCAAAATATTTCATTTTTATTTTAATAATAATTCTGTAGTCAAAATTGTGGATGAAGTTGGCTTTGACTCTGATTTTATATTTATGGTTAGAAAACTTACCTGATATAAATATATACAACAGTTATCCTATAGGAAAATTCAATTAGAAGTGGAGTTGATCTTTATAGTGCCGGTCTTAATCCTTGGGATGCTACGTTCTTCTGAATTGGTAGTTACTGTCTTTCTGGAAACAATTAGATCTGTACCACAATTCGGCTCTTTCGTTTATCTGCTGGAGTTTTAAGACGTTGTTCATGAATAATGAACTATTATATATCTTTAACTTAAGTTTCACTGCTAGTTTTAACAATATAAAAATCTTATAGAACACGTATTTTGTAATATTGTCTGATATGAATTATATCCTATTTTAAGTATTTAGGCTTAAATAAGCTTAAATAGGCCTAAATCTTAGGCGTAACCCTTACTGAAAAATTAGAAGTGATTAGAAATAATAACGTAAATAACAGTAGAAGTATTATTAATATTTCACAAAATATAAGTTTATACAAAAAGAAAAATAGTGTGACCGATGAATTTCGTTAACATTGCCAACATGAATGAAATATATTATTTGCATAAATATTGTATAATCTCTAATACCAAGCTTAAAGTAGGCCAACTACTCCCTACCTCGTCGTGACGAGGTACTTATTGGATGATTGTGTGAATTTGTCGCTCAAGGTTTTCAGAGATTTCAGTTTCAAAAATGACATTTTACTTTTGATTCCCCTAATTTGGCCTGTACTTCTTAATTATATAAATGAGATATAATTAAGTAGGTGATAGACTATATGTGAAAACTAATCCTGATTTAGCTTTACACGCGAAACTAATTTTTTATCATACCAAATTTATGCACATGACGCATAATATAACATTGTAGAAAAATACATAATATAAATATTCAGAACATGAATATATTAACTGCTTCATTGCACTTCAAATCTTTATGTCTGTAACTTTATTCTCACTGTTCCAATACACAAGTGGTTTAAACGACTAAATATAGGATTAGATCAAATAGGAAAGCAGATCAAGTATCTCAGCAAGTTAAATGACCATCATAAACTAATCTGATTGTTGGTCACGTTGTTTATTTTCTGTTTGATGATCAGAAACTGAACAGTTTATAAAACAGTAAAGAAGGGAGTGTGACGTTGTGGCTTTAGATTGTAGCTTAAAGCAGTTTTTTAGATTAAATGTAATTTAACTGTTGCTTAAGTTGTTTATTTTGTACCCAATGATAAAAAGTTAACTTCTTGAAAAAGATGAACCTTTTTTTTTATCTATTTATCACGTCCTGATTTAGCCTTTTAACTTTTTTTTTGTTGTAACACTAAAACAAAAGCCCTGTTTTATTTTTAAAAGACGCGGTCGAACCATCTGATGGCCCTGCCTTTCTGCTCTAGATTCTACAACAAAATTTAGAGTATTTAAAGTTAAAAATGGATGGGTTTTAATTTATAAATAATTAGTTTGGCCAATTGTCTTCAACAGTAATGAGGTTTTAAGCTTATCAAGTGGTTAGTGGTTCATATAATTAAAGATTTATATTATAACTGAAATTTCATAAAATTAGGTTGGATGCTGATATTATTAAACAGCATTACGGTAAACCTGTTTAATTTCAGTTCAGAAATGTTAAAATTACAATTGAAATATTCTAAAACTAAATTACATACATATATTTAAATGAATGTAAATATCTGAAAACATTTCCTTGGTTTTTTGAATTCTATATTTTCTGTTCTCCGTTTTTTTTACACCAGAAAATATCATAAAACTTGAAATGAACTTGTAGATTTTGATATTAGACAAAAGAAACATTCATTCAAATATTTAACACGACAGCCCATTTTGTGTTAATACAGTAACTATAGACTATCCTAAATAATCCGGTACCAGCAGCCTATTTCGCGTTAATACTGTTGGTACCGGATTACTTAGGATAGTCTATAGTTACTGCCCATTTCGTGTTAATACAGTAACTATAGACTATCCTAAGTAATCCGGTACCAATATTAACACGAAGTAGGCTGCTGTTGGTACCGGATTACTTAGGATAGTCTATAGTTACTGATAAAACAACTCCTTCTTACATTATACCTTGACATATGTAATACTATTTTTCAGTATAAGTTGAAGTTAAGAAAGTCCAGAAACGCATCCGGTTACAGTGGAGATCCTGACGAGTGTGGATATGGAGATGCTTCTGGAGGTATGCCCCCTAGAGGTGGAGGGACCAGCTCATCCGATCCGAACATCTGACAATTAGGGTTAAGCCCACGAAGGGCTAACAAAGTTGGAGGTGATACACGTCGTACACGTGTATCGTTTTTTACGTTATTAGGAGCTAAAAAACGAGACTGATGCTGACCCTGAGATAATACTATTGTTGTTAAAAGCTTTTGTTAACTGTTACATTCCTATTGATTCAATGGTTTATAAACTAACAAAGTATTTGTGATAACGCCCTGATGTTTAGCTCATCAACCTTAAGCTGAAGTGAATATTTTATTCCTTTCAAAGGGCTAATAACAGTAACAAATGTTGACTGTCTTACAAGTTTCAAGTACGCTTCTTAACCTAAAGGTATCGCATGTCAGTAATATTATTAGCATGGTAATAATTAGCTGTACTTAAGAAGAGATTATAGAATAATTTACAAATATTACTTTATTGAAAGACGCATTAGGTACCAGGTAGAGACTGCATGAAATCAGCCCTAAGATTTTTTAACACAAGTCAACATCATGACACAATATAAGTAACGTTAACTGATAATATCGTAAACTTGAAAAATGTTTTTAGAACAATTATGGTTGAAATCCCATATTCAGAAAGTATTCAGAAAGATACTTCTCATAATTGTACACTTTAGAATGAGATAAAATTGACAGAATTATGCCAACAGTTAGTTTGCTTGAGAGAGTCCATTGGGCAGATGTTATTCTCTCTAAATGATGACACATTATTCACAGACTTTTTCTATGTATAGCTTATATATATATATACTGTTACGTCTCTGTTCTCGTTTGTTAATTTTCGCCCCCCAGTAGCACAGCGGTATGTCTGCGGACTTACAACGCTAGAAACCGGGTTTCGATACCCGTGATGGGCAGAGCACAGATAGCCCATTGTGTAGCTTTGTGCTTAATTCCAAACAAACAATTGTTAATTTTCCGTAGAAATTCTTTCCGAGAAACTTCAGCCGATACAAGTCCTTTCTTAAATAAAACTAGTTTTTGCTTTCTCAGCTCAACTTTGCAATACACTTAATTTCCACAGTCACTTTAACTTAAATACACGCTATAATTCACAATGATTTACACAATTTACTTACGGCTTGATTCGATTATTTGTCTATATCTTCAATCTCTCTGTCTGTTATTCCAGTTCCGATTAATTGTCTCGCTTTATCTGGCGCGCTTATATACAGGAATAGAGGGCGTCTAGCAAATACCGGATTATTCATGATGTTCCCCGATCCTTCTAGAAACTCATCACGTGTTACCAGAGTCACGTGACTTCCGCTGTCGTAACAATACGTTTGTTTTTCAGACACAATACGTGTAATCAAAGCATACCTTTGTACAATATTATTCAAATATGCTTGTAAATTTCGTATAATCTTTGAGAAAATTTATTTTATTTTTTTGGCTGTATTTAGTTAACTCAGTTATGATCGCTAATATTTGAACTTTTTAAATTTCGAAGCTTTTTTTTTTTAAAGACGGAAGGTTTTCAAAAATAAAGTTCAGTTGTACTCACTCTCAAGATATTTAAGGTTTTAACCATAAATTACAGGTGAGACATTTAATTTCCTAGGTTTTTAACCATGTATATTTTATAACTTAATTTATTAATCATACAATTAATATATCAGTTTTTAACCATAGCAAACTGAAGAATTTAACTTTATAGATTTTTACCCCTACATAATTAATTCGTTATTTTTTTAACCATGACCACTTCGTCATGACTAATCAGACGTTTAATCTACTAGGGTTTTCACTTGGATTATTTAACCAGCTGTTAATTTTATTAGGTTTATCACCGTGATTAACTTAAAACTGTTTACTAACGATCTGGAACACATGTTAGGTTTTGGTATTGTAATCAAAGTGATTTTCGGATAGAAGAGAGAAATTCTTAGCAACAGCTTTAAAGCTTTGATCGTCAGCGATGGAGTACCATGTCAGCAGAGATTGAATATTTGTAAATATAAGATCATCATATATTTATATAAATGCAGATTTTACAATATAATTTACAGTTGCTATATAATTCAAATATCTAAGAGTGCTGGTGCTATAGCACTCCTAGTTCTGACACCACTGTAAATGATAATTTTTCACGCATATCTAGATATGTTATCTGATAGTAACGTTAAAAGTTTGATAGTTTTTTCTATCTTCAGTTTCTTTACTTCTCAGACAGCAGTGGAGGTGAGAAATACTGCTAACACAACTAGTTTGTCCTGGTATAAAAATTCAGCCTATCTATTAGGTACTTTTTATCCATAATCAAACTTAATTGTTCTATAGTTCCAAAATGTATCAACTACACAACGTGAATTTGAATGATTAATTTCCCGAAACCAAAGCTAGGTTTTACTAATATTAGAAAGATGAAAAAGTATTGTGTTACGTCCATAAAATAAGCAGAAAGTACTTTAACATCCTGAATAAGTTACCCGTAGATTTTATGTTGAATATTTATAAAGTTTAAATAATGGAGGACACGTATACTGAGTCTGATAAGTGCGATGTTCTTCAGTAAGCAGCGTAAAGCTTGAGAAGCTTATCTAAGCAACGTAACAACAGGTAAACGTAATGTTCTTCACATAAGTAGCTTTACAAAGTATAGGAATTACAGATGTAGAGAAACTTAGAAGGATATCATCATCATCATAAGAATCTGTTTTAAATTTCAATAAGTCTTACTGTGATATTGTCTGTATTTGAATATAAACGTGTACGATAAGTGCAGTGAAGATTTCGCTACGAAAAAGAAAAAAAGAGTCTAGAACACCACCTGTTGAAGTCTATTATACAATATGGAATAAGTTTCTTATAAAACATGAACACGTCTCTGTAGCTTATGTATCATGAACAGGAACAAATTAGAAATAAATAAACATCAGTGGATGTCGAACTCCAGTTGTGACCAAGGATGTTTATATTAAACAGTAAAGGTTCAACTTGATGCCAGAGATTAGTTGTAGGAGCGTAATTTCACAAAAGCCGTACCTTACGCTAGGGTGTGATTTATGTACATGAGTAGAGATGTTTCAGAGAAACCATTACTTCGGTTGTCCTTCTGAGCTAGAAGGGACGGCCTGTCGTCCCCCTAGATGACATCTCTGGAAGTTTGACAGTATAAGATTAGTTGTGGTCGAATTAGTTGGACAGTATCAACTAGGGACGTAAGAGATTAGAAGTGCTCTGGACATTTTAAACTGGAGAAAAAGTGAGAACTTAGTTGTCCACGAGGGACATTTTAAACTGGGGCAATTTAAACATTAGTTGTCCACGAGGAACATTTTCAACTGAAGAAAAAGTTAAAGATTAGTAGTTCACGAGGAACATTTTCAACTAGAGAAAAAGTAAGAGACTAGTTGTTTTCCAGATAGTTGGACATTATCAACTAGAAACACTGTATGATATTAGTTGTTTTACAGATAGTTGTATAGTATAATCTAGAGACAATTTAAGACATTAGTTGTTTTCCAGATTGTTGGACAGTATCAGCTAGAAACAATTTAAGACATTAGTTGTTTCCCAGGCAGTTGGACAGTATCAACTAGAAACAATTTAAGATATCAATTGTTTTCCAGATTGTTGGACAGTATCAGCTAGAAACAATGTAAGACATTAGTTGTTTTCCAGATTGTTGGACAGTATCAACTAGAAACAATTTAAGACATTAGTTGTTTCCCAGTCAGTTGGACAGTATCAGCTAGAAACAATGTATGATATTAGTTGTTTTACAGATAGTTGTATAGTATAATCTAGAGACAATTTAAGACATTAGTTGTTTTCCAGATTGTTGGACAGTATCAGCTAGAAACAATGTATGACATTAGTTGTTTTAGAGATAGTTGGACAGTATCAACTAGAAACAATTTAAGACATTAGTTGTTTCCCAGGCAGTTGGACAGTATCAGCTAGAAACAATGTATGACATTAGTTGTTTTAGAGATAGTTGGACAGTATCAACTAGAAACAATTTAAGATATCAGTTGTTTCCCAGGCAGTTGGACAGTATCAGCTAGAAACAATGTATGATATTAGTTGTTTTACTGATAGTTGGACAGTATC